GTGCACGCTCACAGGGTTGCACGTTATCGCACAAAGAGGGCAGCCATCATTCTGACCGTGCTCGTTTGGATGCTGAGCTTGTTTGTCTCTCTGCCATATTTTATCTTCATATAGGAAACAAAAGAGTCCCAGAAGTTTGGATGTGACTATCCCGAGGAGAGAAAAGTCTGGGAGCGTAATAATAAATAAAAATTTATTGCTGTCAGTAGCAGTAACGGAAGCCTTAGCTTATACTCACTGCTGCCGGAATCCAATCATATATGCTTTTGTGGGAGAGAAGTTCATGAGACGAGCCTTGCAGGTGCTGAAATAGTTGGTGCCTGGTACAGCTGCTCATTCAGGAGAAGTAAGGTTCGCATTTTAAAACGTTTTTTTTTTGGCATTTGGGTTTGCTTTTTATGTTCACTTGGCCAGGTGCAATATTAGTCAGGCAATGTGCAATCCCTGTTTTAACTTGGGCACACACCATATGAAAATTAAGTCTTTCATAGGTGCTCATGGTGAACATGATTTGCTGTGTGTAAGATAAGATAAGATAAGATAAGATAAGATAAGATAAGATAAGATAAGATACAGTTTACATGTGGAATATTTTTTTGGTCACAGCAGAGTTAAGAGGAGTAAAAATAAAAAAATACAAAAGAATAAGATAAGATAAAACATAATAACATACTATACAAAATAGAATAAATGACAGTCCAAAATAGAATAAAATGCTTTGTTGTGGTAGGAAAAATTGCACTTGGTTTTATTGCACATCAAAGAGACAGGGCGAAAGTTACAATTGTGTATGCGATGTGTGTGCGTGTGTCTCCTTCTGCACATGTGTGGTCATCTGCAGAGACCATGTTGTAGAATCTGACAGCAATGCCCCTGTGGGGCTGTATTCATCTGGGGTGGATTTGGTTTTTTAAAAAGGGGCACCTGTTTTCTTTTGGTGAGAGCGAGTTATGAGGTGATTGCAGAGAGGTTGCACCATTAAAGGTACATTGTTGGTCGTAAGTGACCTTTTGTTACGATGTTCTAATTTTATTGCAAACTGTATTTTTTTCCTTTACTTTTAAAATAATTAAATCTGATATATTCTCGCTGATTTTGACCATATAAATAAATAAATAAATAATAATAAAGATCAATAAAGTGGACCATGGCAAAGCCATAATGATCTGCCTTCAGACAATAATTCTGATTGCTACAGTGCCAAACAGGACTTATGGAGGCAAATGTAAACTCAAAAACACTCAGCTTTATTGCTGGATTTCAGACAAAACAGAAAACTAGCTAAACTGAGAATGCAAAAAACTAAACAGGTAGGCAAGCTGGCAGACGGGACACACAGTGTAGAATGATGGACGACAGTTCGACGAGCAAGGGAAAACGCAGATACTATATACAAGAGGTGAACAGGACTAAGAGGAAACAGCTGGGAGACACGGCTGACACTGATTACATAGAAAAGACGGAGGAGCACACAAAACTGAATACACTGACATAAGACACAGACCTTCAAAGTAAAACAGGAAACTCAACACACATGCAGAGACACAGACTCAGAACTGACTGAACAGGAACAGAGGGAGTACAAAACCAAAACCTAAAAACTAGCAAATCCTAACAGAAGACATAACCAGAATAAATAAGAACATAAGATAATATTAACAAACACAAAACACTGAGTCATCAGACTCAGGACCATGACACAGTTTTACAGAGAACCATTAAATACAATATTTCGTGATCTGGATGAAAATGGTCAGTCATCTTTCAGCTAAAATGATTGCAACAGTAACTAAAATAATAACTCGTTACACCAAAATATATAGAAAGAATGTAATGTAAAACATGCTTTGAGTAGATAAGCTACACCAGCTTAAGACCACTGGATGCCACTCCTCAGATAAGAACAAGAAAATGAGGATGCAGTTTGCACCACATAATTCGGACAACTGAAGATTGGAAAATGTCATCAGTTCATATTAATCTCAATTTCTGCTCCTAAAATTGAATGGTAGAGTCAGAATCTGGCAGAATGGTGCATCTCCCTGTGCATCTCTTCATGATCACAGTGTTCTGATCTTCTGATGGTTGCTTCCAGCAGGATAACACACCGTGTCACAGAGTCCAAACATCTGAAACTCTTTTTTAATCTGACAATAAGTTCACTGTGCTCAAATGGGCTCCACAGTCACCACAGTCTTTATCCAACTGAAGAGCTTTGGGATGTGGTAAGAGGTTCTGAATGTGGAGCCAACAAATTTATGGCAACCGTGTGATACTATCACATCAACATGAACCAGTATCTCAAAGGAATGTTTTTAGCAGCTTGTTTAATCAATGCTGTGTAGAATTAGGGTAGTTCTGAAGACAAAAGTTAGTCCAAACCAGTCCGTGCAAGACATACTACTAAAGTGTCTCATGAGTGTAGAATCGATGATGTGCACTGATGTACAACAGTGAGACCAAGAAGAGGAAGAAACAAATAATAATAGTAGCGAAAATGACAATAATAAACTCTCTCATCTGTCATGTAAAAACCAACAGTCATTTTGTAAAGGTGAGAATTTGTGTCACCATATGCTGTGTTGTTCTTTGAAGTATTTGTCATGATCTCACTTAAGCACATGCAGGAAGTGAAATCTATATTTCTTTTTTTGTGCTCCTTGTTATCAGACTGCTGCCTTTAAGACTGTTAGTTAATCCCTGCACACCTCAAGAGATCACATCAATAAAACACGAAAAACAAGAAGCGTTGAAGTGTAATTCCTGACTTCACCTGATTTGAAGAGACATCACTGAGTTATCACCATGGCAGGTAAATATCTTTTAAAAGTAATACAAGAATGTTATATATTTAAAGTTTAGCATTTTTCAGAGTTCTTGAAAATACATGTTTATAATGTGTTAAATCTGTTAAGGCTGTACATAGTAGAAATTCAAATACTGTAATTTAAAATTGTATCACAATTTATTAAGGGTGGGACATGATATATATATGCATATATTTTAATGAATTAGAGGTTTTGTAGTTAATTAATCTTGATTAATCGCATTTAATCGCACAAGAAACAAAACACAAATGGGTTTTTTTTTATTTAAAAGGGTTTTAGTGGGTGATGGAATTAAACAATAAACATGGACATGAATATTGTAAACTCCAGCTCTTTTAATTTCTGGGGGGAAAAAAAGACAAACTAACCTTTTGTCTAAGTCTAAAACTGTACTCACCTCTACCATGACCATGTGTCTACACTAATACACTATAGCTATTAATTTTCACTGCTTGTGATGAGAAATAAAAGAATAAAATAAATAAATAATAAATACCTACTCTCTCTCAGCAGAATATAATGACACAGAAGACAATTACAGCAATTACAGTGATTTTGATTATGGAGACTATGCTCCAGCCAACTCTACCGATGTAAAGGAATTCAGCCAAGTGTTTCTTGCTATTCTCTACAGTTTGGTTTTCATCCTGGGCTTCATAGGTAGGTGTGTCTTCTTGTGTCTATATTGTGGGGATTGTATTGTATTTACACATTGCAGGGATCTGTTGTCCCTTATGGGAACAGAAAGCACATTTTAGGCCTAAACTCTGTATGCAGGTGTGTTTATGTGCAACACAACAACATGAGACAGAGTAAGAGACAGAAAGAATATGTAACAGTGTGACATTTACACTTATTGTATCTTTTCTCACAAAGGCAATGGGCTAGTGGTGTGTGTCCTGGTGAAGCATCGCAATCAGTGCAAC